AGCGTCTTTTAATTTCATGGCTGCAGTCTCCATCTGCAGTGATCTTGGAGCCCAAATAAATGAAGTCTGTTACTTAAAACCCTGCTTTAGATGACCAGATTCCTGTTGATTGTTCGATTCTCATTCTTCATGGTTTTTTTTTTTTTTTTCCAGATCACGAGAATCTACTGCTATGTAACGGTGGTCAGCCTACAATACCTGGCTCCAATATTTCTCACCCTGCACTGCACACTTCTCCTCAAAACTCTTGGTAAAGGACTGTTTAGCCACCTAGGTCTCTAGTGGAACCAGCTGTTTCCCCATGTCCATGAAACCTAAATTTATTTATTTAAAGTATATCTCCACTTAAATATATATTTCATATTTCATAAGCTACTTCTTAATCAGGGCAGCTTCTGAATCGGTGACAAATACTTTAAGATTCCAGGATACAAAAGGAAGAGGGAAGCAGCAAAGATATTCAGAACATATTCTTAAAGATATATATCTGATGGAGTATCCTTTTCTGTCTTTTGCGCTGCAAATTGACTTGCTGTTCTTAGTTGGTTTACAATACAGTAATATCAATTTCAAAGGCATTGGGGGGAGGTAGTAAAATAGTAACCGGGGGAAAGAGAGACCAAATAGTTTTTTTCCTACCAGGAACCACTAGCACAGTGTTTCTCAAACTTGATCACTTGAAGATGGGTGGACTTCAACTCCCAGAATTCCCCAGCTAGCAGGGTATGGCATTAACACTGTGCTAGATGGTGAAAGTGGAGTGCTACAATATGGAGGGGTTGCTGTTATCTTGAAGACTTTCTCGCTGGTTTTCCAGATTGCACGTTAATGGCTGTCTCAAAATTGTTGGTGGGGCTTGTTCCCAAAATGCAAGGGCAAAAATACACATTACTGGAAACCTGCATGGAAAAGAATCTTGCTGTCCTTCTGCACAGAACAGTGTTTCTCAGCCTTGACAACTTGAAGATGCGTGGATTTCAACTCCCAGAATTCTGGCTGGGGAATTCTGGGAATTGAAGTCCACGCATCTTCAAGTTGCCACGGTTGAGAAACACTGCACTAGCAGAAGCTTCACAGGCCATCTGAGTTAGAAAACTTTATCTGCTTTTTGAAAAAGCAGTAGAGAAGAACAAACTTCTAAGTCTGGAGCTGGAATAGAGAAGCCTTTGCTTCTAGGGAGCACACTCAGCCCGTCCAGAGTTTCCTAGGTTTTTCATGCCACAGAGTGATTCCTTAAGCAGGCAATAATGGGAATTTGTTGTCCTTCAGAAAAGCTTTTAAAAACTTGGGTTTTCAAACAGGCCAGAAGTCAGGGCAATTGGGGATCCAGGATGATGAATAGCTACAATTCTCTTCTGTATTCCCCTCTCCCAGTGCATTGTGGTTTGGGTTTTAAAATGTATTTTTAACGATGTTATGGTGCGTCATTGATTTAGCAGCCTTATAAATCTAAATAAAAGTGAATCACCTTGTAACTTTGTCCTGTGATGGAATGGAATTATGAAGGCCAGGCTCAGGGAGATAAACATTTTCTTAGCTCGCCGGAGGAGCGTGGGAGCTAAGAAAATGTTTATCTCC